TCAGATTTTGGGCGGACAGAGTTTTATGTAAAGTTGCTGAAGTAAGATGAGAAAGAAGGACCATGTTTGTGGTTAAACAGATAACGTACAAAAAGGAAGGAAGAGTTCATTTTGGGAAATGGTTTCTCTTCACTTTCTTGGCAAGTGTTAGATTTCAATACATGTAACCCCTATCATGTCTTAATATAAAACTACAGCTTGCAGCCAGTTGGCCTAGCATAAAAACTGGAAACATGGGGAAACTGATAGCTTGGTTGTGTCCAACCTTACTGTAACAAAGTCTGCCATCCATGATCTATACAGCACAATAATACCACATTTATTGACTCTTCAAAAAAAGTTTAAAAGCAACAGCTTACTGTTTTACAGGGGGTTATGTGTAACAGCAGACTGTCATTTTATGCTTCACTTTTGTAGAGCTTAAGATATTTAACTAGTTTGTGTCTGCATGTGTTTAGCTAAGATAAGCAGTTGCTGACTCTTTCTTCCCATACAGATTTGACTTTGGTCTTGGCAAGACAGCAAATAAGGACATTTCCCCAGATGTCGAACAGTTTAAAAGCTGGGCTGAAAAAAAGCTAGGAATAACCCACTAGTTGTGGGGAAATCTGCTTCTCCAGTTAAAGTCTCTCTTGGTTGCTGTGGAACTGGAGCCATTTCCTATTGCAGAAAAACATGGAGATTATTACAGAGACACACTAGAGATGTAAACATTGAAAAATGGCTCATGTTGGTTGTTTTCCAACTGACCTCTGTGGTTCTCCTAGTGGCATACATTTCTGAAACAGACAGATGTATATTTTATGTAAACAACAAATACAACCATGTCCTCAAACTGGAATTTATTCATCTACATTCATTTTATTTAAATTAATGCATTATTGTTGGCTTCTGTTTCAACACTTATATAACAGACAGACATAACACAGCAATGACTCTGCTAGTCACTGTGAGCTTGTGCTTCTTTGAGCTAAATTCTAACATCAGCCTACTAGGCAAAGATAATAAAGCTAATAATGTTCACCATATTCACAACTTTAGATTAGCATGTTAACATGCTAACTCACTAATTAGCTGATCGGAATTTCATTCATCTTTCAGGTATTTGGTCGTAAATGTTTTCTCGTCCAAGTATTGGGTAAAGTTTTGGCCTAGTGATGGCCCTAGATGAAAAGTCAGGAAATCAGTTATTACAACAAAGTTATTACAACTTTGAATGTTTGTACCAAAAGTCCTTGTAATGTGTCTAATAATTGTAATAATAATAATAATAATAATGAGACATTTCATTACAAACCACAGTTACTAACCTAATTCTGACATTAGATGAAAAGTCAGGGAATTGTTATAGGATACAACCTCTAAAGGGCAGTAAAAGACTATAAAATTATATTTGTCTGGACTGGTGTTTTTAGACTTTGGAGCTCTGCCTCACAAGAAAGATTTTGTCTGTTTGGAGGGGAGTGAGGCTTATTACAGACCCTGGCGAAATGATCTGCATTATCATTGCCTTTGACCAGGAGTCATATTTCACTGTGCTGCTGTTCCCAAGTGCTTATAGTTATACAATGTATGCACAATGGGTGAAGGACTTTATGTGCAGGCATTGCAGATTCTGAGTATGTGTTTGTGTGTGTTGGCACCTGGCCTCTGAGTCTGTTGAACAGGCTTGTGTGGAGGAGGATCTGCTCTTGGTGGCCATAACTCCTCCTCAAATGTCTCATAGCTTTCCTCCATTTCTTTCCTGAGAGACAGAGGATAATGAAATTGCTTAAAACTTAGTTTGGTTTAAAAAAAAAAAAAAAAAGTTTTTGATATGTACATATTACACAACGCTTTCCATATGAGCCAGGCTGTAGCCAGAAGCAAGATCAGCCTGTGGATTGCTGGTATTTTAAGAAATACTTTTTTTGCCAGCTGTTACTTTCCAATAACCAGATGAGCCAGTGGGTTGAATTGTCTTCACTTTGTACTATAGGAAAAGTTATTTCCATTCTAATCAGTGTTTTGTTTTGGCTGCACAAAATGAGGAAAAGGTCAACTTCTCAAGTTTATGAATAAAACTGAAGCAGTTTCTTGACCTTCACATTTACAAATGAATGCTGTGAGGCCGTTATGGTTTGCATGACATTTCTAAACAGACACTGAGCTAATGTCCTAGCAGCACTATAAATAGATGAAGCAATGCCACTGGACAGACAAATGGATACACACTGCTTATAAATACAATAAAAGAAAAAGGCTTGATCTTACCATTACATTCATGGGTAGTCTCTTTCACAGTGAAGCCTTAACTTTGACCCTGATTAACATAAAGACCTACCTGCCTCGACATTTAGGGTCCCCTGGGCAGCTTCAGGAAACCTTTGTCACAGAGCCTGTTGTTCCTCTGCAGAGATGGCAGCAGAGTCATGCTCTGTACTGTCTGACAGCCAAGCACAGGTGCTGCAGAATGAAAAAAACCAAAAGCACTGAGTGTCAGTCAGAGGTGTCGACTTAGGCGGGTTGTCATTACTATGTCCCATACAGCTATCAGATTCCAGGAGAGGGCTATAGGTTATACAACAGCCATGTTGGAGAGATCTTATTAAAATTTGGTATCCAAGGAGTTATAATGCATCAATCCCACAGATTTTGAACGAATAGGGCAGCACTCCTCTAAATAAAAACAAACAAGCAAACCAATAAAAACACACAACATATTAATGCAAAACCTGACAAACGTGCCATGATTTTAAGGTAAAGATGCTATTTTAGATACTTTGAATGCTTTTACACTGTGTCAGGGACCAAGCAGTAAGGCAAAAGACACAGCCTTGAAATTGCTTTGAATATCATGTGGATACCGATTCTTCATTTACCAGCAGAGGGCGCCACTGTACTTGCCAGGCTGCTCTGCTCTACATATGAAGCAGTCTGTCATATGGACAGTCCCTCAGATACAATGAACAGAAGGGCTGATACATTATGAGTTGACCAACAACCACACCAGGCACTTTAGACACGGATGATTGTTTTGGCAATTGTTTTTTTAATCAAAATATTTGTTTTGTTCTTGCCTTAGTGCATCTTTCTTCAGTAGGCGTGTTGACTAAATAAGATAAATAGGTATCCTCATATTATGCATGTGGTTATTATGAAGCTTTGAGGCAAACTCACCTTCGTAGGCCACTAACAAGGAGCTGTGTAAACAAATTTAAAAATGATTGTTTTATATCAGGTTGAGGTGGTTGCAGGCCACCTTTATGTGGGAGGGGAAGTGTTGGTAAACAGACTTGTGGTGATGTTGATGACTCATTCCTTTGAATTGCACATTGTTATACTCAGTCAGTAATCACTCTGAATTGAACAGAAGCTTTGTAACCTTTGCCATGGGTAGACTGATAAAGCCAGGTTTTCAAATGGTGCTCAGAGCTGCATTATATGATACAGAACATTAAAACAAACACAACCACTTTATGTCAGCAGTGCTGCTCTTCGTCAGAATTAGCTCTGTGGATAGTAATATCAGTTGTTCCACTGCTCTGGGCCATACTGAACTGTCTCAATAACTGCTGGATAGATTGCCATGAAATTTGGCTCAGACATGTTTCCCTCTGTAATTTGTCTGAACTATTAAATCTCAAATGTTACATCAGATCCAAATTTTAATTTGTCTAATAGTTTGGT